AGGGCGGGAGGAGTGGAAGGGGAGGGGGGGGAGGAGGGAGCAGCTCACAGGAACCCTCCAAAAAAAAGATGGCGGCGGGCTCGGATCTGCTGGATGAGGTTTTCCTGAACACGGAGGTGGATGAGAAGGTGGTGAGCGACCTGGTGGGCTCCCTGGAGTCCCAGCTGGCGGCCTCCGGCCACCACCACCAGCACCACAAGGCGCAGGAGCCCCTGAGGGCCGCTGGGGGGCTGCTGGGGAACCATGTTGTGAGCAGCAGCAGTAGCAGCAGCAGCCCTAGCCCTAGCCCTGGAGGAGTAGTAGTAGGAGGCAATGCTAATGCCCAAACAGAGAGCAGCAGCAGCAGCAAGATGGGACTGAGTGCCCCAGAGATCACAAAAGCAGGTAACATGGGCAGGGGTGGGGGGCTCTGAGGGAGAGGGGCCCTCCCCTCCCCCCACTCCCCAGCTCCGGCTGCTCCTTCCCTCACTGCTTTCCCCCCTTTTCCCTCTCTCCTCCTTCTCGTTGTGGCAGGAGCGGGAGTGCAAAGGGTGGTATCGATCATCTGGGGGAGAGCCTCCCCTCATCATGCCCCCCTCGGTGTGTATCCGCGCCTCTGCTCCCTCCCCTTTATTTTCCCTCCTCGCCTCTGCTTACGAGAGGGTGTTTTATCATGTGTGGGGGCAGCCTCCCCGCAGCACCAGCCGGCAGAGCCCGTCCCCGACTCTGCCGGTCCCCCTCGGCTTTTCCTGCCCTCCTTGCCGGAGTGTGGAGGGGCTCTCTTCGGCTCGGGGGGCCGAGGGAGGCAGAGCCCACCCCCCGCGTAACGGCCGTGCCTCCCGGGCCGTCCCCGGCTGCTCCCCTTCCCTTCCCGGGGGTGGAGGTTATGGGGGGGATTCCCTCTCGATAATGCCGCCTTAGCTGTCTGTGTAAATGCTCCTTCCCCTCCCCCTTCTCTGTTGCTGAAGTGCAGGGGGGTGTTATTAATCATGACACCTATTTCCTGTAGAGGAGGAAGCGAGGGGGGATTTCAAGGGGAGGAAGTCCCTCAAAATGCTTCCCCCCCCCCAATATCTGCCTGCCCGAATCTTCTTCTCCCCCCCTTTTCTCCCTTGTTCCAGGGGCTTGGAGGGGGGCATCCCACACCTCTCATTCCTCCTCTGCCCTCAAGGGGGGGTTGTCACAACACCGGGTCCCGGGAAGGGGGGGAATTCAGGCCACAGCACCCCACCTTGTACCCTGGCTTCTCCCCCGGAGCTGCCCGGGAATATTCCCCCTCTTCCCCTTGGGAAGCTCGTAGGGGAATAGTGCGGAGGCTGGGACTGAGGGCTCACGGCATGAGGATGGAGGGAAGCTGTTTTTCAGGGGAATTAAAAAAAATGTCTCCCCAGAATCTCTCTGCAATTCCTCCCCTCCCCCTATTTTTTTTATTTTTTTTTTTTTTCGCTTTCTTTCTTGTTGCTGAAGTGTAAGAAGATATTACAGACCTTCTGTCGTGATTAATGAAGCTCTTCGAGGAGGATCTCCTTAACCCTTATAACATGCTTCTCCATGTCTGTCTGTCGCTATTCTTTTCCCATTTCTGTCTCCTTAGGGCCAGGACATGGACTGTGTGTGATTGTACTTGT